TAAGATTATGGCTGCCAATAATAAATCCTGATAGGACATCTAATTCTCTCAGCATTGCCTCGCTGTATGTTGTGGACCCGGAAGAGGTCCAAAAGAAAACTTAAACTCAGGCAATTCAGTGAAAACGTATTATTAACAAAAAGAATGAATACAGAAGTGTTGCACATTCGTCTGATGGCTAAGTAGAGTAGTCAACTTGTCTTCTGCCTACGTCCTCTTTGATTTTTATAATATAGTCATAAGACGAGTTTATTTTGTCCATGAAGATAGGTCTCCATAACACTGTAGAAGTTGAACATTGTATATACTCATGTATAAGCTGACTTCATATATAGTGTAACTCCTGCATGCATTTTTTGCATGAATTTTAATCCCTTCAAAAAAATTATCTGTATATATTTCAACCAGTCACTGAAAATTCATGATTTTTAAGCCCTTCAAAAAAATTATCTGTATATATTTCAATCAGTCACTGAAAATTCATGATTTTTAACCCCTTCAAAAAAATTATCTGTATATATTTCAATCAGTCACTGAAAATTCATGATTTTTAACCACTTCAAAAAAAAATATTGCCTCTATATCATGTGACCAGCTATTTTTTTAGCATAAAAACTTGATCATAAAAAAACTTGCACTATAATCAAGTATAAGGGAAAGTAAAAAATGATCCGCACTCTTTTTAAAGATATGTTATGCCGAAAGTGTAGATAATTTTTTACTTACCTTTGTATATACGCTATGTTTGGTGAGAAGACACATCCTTATTTTGCACTCCTTTTTATTTTTGTATATTTATGAGACTCATTTTTTATCCGGAGGCGGTTTTGCTGCCAGTATAGATTCTGGATAATTCTAATATCCTTCCCAAAGTTACCTTACTTGATAAAAAAAGTTTTAAAGTTTTATTTCATTGCAAATGAAAAATGCTTTTAAGTATCACATAGCTAACTCCCTGTATGCTCTTAACTAGAAACTGAATTAATAGAATAAAAAATGCTTTTGCATACACCTAATAATATATATATATATATATATATATATATATATATATATATAGATAACTAGACTCGTTTCGAAAAACCCTTGAATTTTTGATTTGCTAATCAAATCAATCTCGAGGGAAAAAAGGTTTTAAAAAAAAGAAAGAGCTACAAACATGAACTTCTGCCGACAAAAAAATCGCACAGATGCAGGTCTGAAGCCCAAAGAAAAAACCCCGATACGAGTAAACAACTAACTAACAAAAGCACTCAATACAACCGTAGAGCAGACCTAGATACACCTAGTGAGCCAGACAAACCTACCTAGGTTTCACCTAAACGGATCGTCAGGGAAAGTCAAGCTTGACTTTCCCTGACGATCCGTTTAGGTGAAACCTAGGTAGGTTTGTCTGGCTCACTAGGTGTATGTCTCTCTCTCTATATATATATCTATATATTATATAGTTAAACCTAGAGAGCCAGACAAACCTACCAAGGTTTCACCTAAGCGGATCATCAGGCTTAAATAGGTCTGCTCTACTCTGTATTGAGCACTTTATTTAGTTATTTTGGGTACTTTCATCAGGGTTTTTTCTTTCAGCCTTGGACTCGTATGCTGGACGATTATTTTTGGTTAACATACATGTTCTTGGTTCTTTCTTTTTTTATACCTTTTTTTTTCCCTTTGGTTCATTTGCAAATTCACACACCGAAGGTTTTCTGAGCAAGTATATTTTCTTATACTTATAAGATTTCTACTCATACACATAGCCACATGATTGGAGAAAGACAGTGTTGCACTAATTATATTACTGGTAAGGGCTTGTCTGATTTGAAGATAGTAGCATTCAAGAAGTTGGCTTCTATCTGAGTCTGAAAATTGGCATAAGTAAGAAATATGAAACTACTTTGGCCACCAAAACTTAAATAGGAGAAACGAGATGTTTGTTTATTTTTTCTCCAGGAAATACAGTTTTGAACAAAAGGTATTTATATTTAATCTCACTTGCCATTAGAATAAGATTTGATTTCTGATGAACAGAAAGTAAAACACCTGGTGTTGAATGAAAGCCTGAAGATTATATTTCTAAAATTGGAAGCAACAGGGTTCTATGTGGTTTGGAAGCGTTGGCGCACATCAAAGAAAAATCTCCAAAAAAGGGATTCTCAGGAAAGGATAAGAAATGTTTTTCAAATTTATTTAGTTGAGATTTTCCTTTGTTGGCCAGTTTTGTGTTGGACATGAATTGGGGTGGGGGAAGGGCAATATTTCCATCAATATTTTTTTTGTTTTTTTCTTTGTTTTGTATTTTTTTAATTGATTTTATTTTTTATATTTTTAATTTTTTTTTTTCCTCTTAGAAAATCTTTGGAAAAATTTTAAATAAAAAAAAATTGAAATTATTTTTTTTCTTTTCTGTAAAACTTTTCCAAAGCAGAAAAAAAAAGTTAAAAATTTTGTCAAAACATGTAGATATATATTTATCAAAAATTATACGACAACATTTTTTTTATTTCTTCTTTCTTTCTTTTTTAACTAGTTTTAGTGAAATTTTTCTTTGTTTTTTTGCTTTTATTTCTTGCTTTGTTTTGTTTTTTTTAAATTATACTCTAGAAATTAATTTTTGTGTATAAATAACACAGGACAGCCATAAAATGCACACACTTTTTTGTACACACATTACATATATATATATATATATATATATATATAAATTTATACTGAAACATTTTTATTTTTTATTCGAATTTTGCATTGTGTATAGTATTTGCCTTGACAGCATTTTCCCCTCATTTTCTTGGTTTCTCACCAAAATGCAGCAAATGGAATAGAAATATTGGTCAATGTCCATACATTTTCAGGTCACAAACGATACCAAATTCTAATTCATATTCATAAACTATTCACAGACTCTCTGAAATTCCCCCTGCCTAACCAGCTGAATTTTTTTTAAACAGGAACCATTCTAATGGCATTTAATCTGAGTGATGTTAACCATGAGTGATTTCTTATTTTTTACCCGCTGAAGAAGGTTAGAGAATTGGCCAGCTAACAATAGTGACAAAACAATTAAAGTATGAGACTGTTAATCCAAACATCTATAAGAATAATTAAAAAAAAAAACAGTTTTAATGATCTGAAGTTTTCCTTATCAGGTTGTTTTGTCTTGACAAAATATTTGTAAAAAATGTACAACTTTTGTTTTGCTGTTTATTATAAAAATTAAAACCTGGATAAAATTTTATTTAGATAATTGTTTTCATTGATATATTTTAAAAAACGTTTGTCCTCTTTTCATTCGATGTTTTGCTTTGAATAATTAGTCTTTTTGTTGCTGTTAAATCCTAAATTCTAAAGTAAAACTAAAGCAAAATAAAAAGCTTTATTTATTTTTGCAAATATTGTTTTTTGTCCAGCTCAAATAAATCATGGCTTTTAAAGACTTCCATATTTCACCATTCAATTCAACATTGCTTTTCGTAACAAAATAGCATAAGAGAATAGTAGTAATAATAATAAAAAGTGAGATACCTCAGTGATATTGAAATAAATATGTCCTCATTTACATGTGAGCAAATAGACTTTTACATATCGTCCTTCTGTTAATTAAGAAGGAGCCCACAAGTAGTAAACTTTGAATCCCACACTTCATAACAAGTACGAAATGATTTGTGGAATAAATGCTTTTTATCAAATCCTAATTAAACAAATGATGAATTTTAAATTTTCAGATTGTGACAAGCCATAAACTATCAGATCATGAGAAAACTAAATTATCAAATCATAACAAACCCTAGATTATCAGATTATTATCATATTGTGACAAACCCTAAATTATTGCATCATGGCAAACTGTAGATTATCAGATCATGACAAATCCTAGATTATCAGATCATGACAAATACTAGATTATCAGATCATCACATCATGAACAACTGTAGATTATAATATCATGAAAAACCATAGATTATCACATGAAAAACCCTAGATTATCAGATCATGAAAAACTGACGATTATCAGATCATGACAAACTCTAGGTTATCAGATGATGACAAACCCTAAATTATCAGATTGTGACAAACAATAGGTAATGACAAACCATAGATTATCACAAACCCTCGATTATCTGCTCATGAAAAACCTTAGATTATCAGATGATGACAAACCCTAAATTTTCAGATTGTAACAAACAATGGGTAATGACAAACCTTAAATTATCAAATCATATTAAAACTAAAGAGGTTCTTTTCATAATTAATCTATTATCTGTTAAGTCCACCATGAGAAGCAAGGTGTTATACAATCATCTAAAAGAAGCTAAATTTGGTCTCTCCAGAATCTACTTAAATGGTATGGTAATTGGCAAAAGAAAGAGAGGTAGACAAACAAAATGATAGCATGCAAATATGCATGAATTGTCCAGTCTTAAAGTAACACTATTAAATATGGATACTCAGGGAAAAGCTCTTTGGAAATAACCATTTTATGCTAGTAAGCAATCTGATATAGGTACAGATACCAATTTAAGAATAAAAATTAGAAAAATTAGAAAAATAATGAGAATATTTCTCAGAATTACTTTTATTTAAAAAAAAAAGGAATGAAATGTTCTTAAAATTTGTCTTCCTTTGACGTCAAATTTATTAGAAAAGCCAGAATTGTAAGGAAAGGAATATTTGCAATATTTTCTGCATTTCATTAGTTCAAGGTTTTTTTTAATAATCTGTATACAAGTAATTTAATTAACACTTTTTCTGTATCATAAAAATAATAAGTATATTATAAATCCTTAATCCCATAGAAAGATAAAAAAAATATTCTTGAGTTAATTTTGGTCCAATAAGCTTTCATATGTATCTATTACGGCATTTGATTTTTCATCCTGAAAACTTGTCAGCATGAATATTAGCTTTTTCTAAACTATTCTAAAATTAACATTGGGACCATTTGCAATGTGGGTACATGTGAACATTGACTTTTTGTTCCAATTGGATTGGTCAGTCAGATTAACCAATCAAATGATTTCCTGCTTCTTGGGTCGGAAGTAAACATACTTGGTGAGCATGGACACAATACATGGCATCTGCTTTTTTTTGGAAGTGAATTCCTCATTTGTGCAGGATTCGAAATCATAGGCGACAATATGGTTAACAAGTGTCAGCATGTGCATGAGTTCCATCTCTTCACCATGGTTCTCCAAAATGATGCAAAGAGCTTGGATAAACCAGGAACCATCTTCATTGTTTCTCCAAGAATAATACCCTGAAAAAGAACAAGTACAACAAAGACTTCATAATAGTAATAATATTTTTTTCTTTTTTGTCAAATTTTAATATATATATATATATATATATATTATTCTAGATTTAGTTATGTGATCTTTGTTCCTTCACTGATAGACCACATGAACCCCTAGCAGAAAAACAACCTGAAATCATTATACAACTTGTCTCGTGTTTCTATGTATTTAGAGAGTCTTGATAAAATACAAACATCTGCAATTTTATTGGTTCTGACCTGGCATCTCAGCTTCAGTCACTTTCCCACCATCATAGCATAGTTTCCATGAACCTTTTCTATAAATATTTTCATGGTAATTGTTCAGATGAGCCATCCTCTATGGTGCCTAGATCTTATGAATTAGTATGAATTGCAGTACTAGATTGGCAGCTAGGTCTCATCATTTTACAGTTGAAAGGGCTACATGTAACCATAAGTTCTATGCTAACAGTCTCTTCTCTTACACTTCTTGCTTGTGGAACTCTCTTCTGGCCTCTCGCTTTCTAGTTAACTTTGATCTTCAGAAACTTAAATGCAATTGTCTTTTTAATAAAGTTTGTATTTTTGCTATATCTCTTAATTCCTGTTCCACCAAGAATTTATAGAAGTGCATACTTTCTTCTGTGTGCCGTGTCCCTTCAGGACGTGGGCGATTATGGCTCTCCACAACTTTTTATCATGTGTAGCCCTTAGTAAAGTTTCATCTTTTTCCTATATCACCTAATCCCTGTTCTGCTAATCATTTACACGAAGGTAGGTTATCTATTGTTTTCATCTGACCCTCTTGTCTTCGATAGTGTTTTTCTAAGTGTAGCTTAGATGTGGCACAAAGTATGGAGCACCTAGTGAGGATCAAACTCACTACTCACTCGTAACTGATCTAGCAAGACGAGATTTCTAACGACTATACCACATCAGGTCGTCCCCCTTTTGTCTTCAACATGTCTTGGGAGTGTCAAATTTTCTAAGCCCCCTTTCCCCATTATGTGCCTTATTTTCAAGTGTCCATTTCTCTTGTATGTGACTGCAAGTTGTCTTTCAATATGTTATATTCAGAGAGATATTTGAAAATAGGAGAGAAAAGTCCTTTCATATCTTCTTTCAGAGAAGATATGAAAGGACTTTTCAGTAAAGAGATTAACTGAAAAGTCCTTTCATCTCTTCTCTCTTAACTGAAAATGCTTGTTTGAAAGACTCAGTAAAATAAGCCAAGAAATCTGTAATTTTTATTCATAATGAATCAAGCAATGATTAATTTGAGAGAGTACCTAGATAGGTGACCGCCTGGGAATATCAGGTCTTGTAACCTTGAATGTAGAAGTGCTACAATGGATAACAGTTTGTAATTGGAAATCAGGGAGCCAAGCTCCAATTCCAGTCAGTTTTGTTAAATATGCACAAAGGGAAAGGTATGAATCTGCCTCTTCTCCAACAGCTATGGGTTAATTAGTAGAAACTGTATCAGCAAAATCATTATTCTTACAATCTAAAAACATTTTCTGGCTTTAAATAGCATGTACAGTGTTGATAAGCCATTAAATAAATAACATGTACAGAGGTGATAAGCCATTAAATAAATGACATGTACAGACTTGATAAGTCATTAAATAAATGACATGTACAGACTTGATAAGCCATTAAATAAATGATACAGAGATGATAAGCCATTAGAAAAAACAAAGAAATCAATCAGTCTACCTGGAGTGGTTGAATAGGCGAAGAGAAAGTCTGCTTCTGTGGGGACAGTCCTCATGATGACGTCTGCTGCTGCCACAGCATCCACGCTATCATCTTCTGTAGTAGGAGAAGCATCAACAACATCAACACCATCATCCATTTTGGTCCCTCGACAGGCCTACAAATATAAACAACAAATCAGCCTGAAAAGAAAGTTACAAATCAGGGGCTTAAAATCTTTCAAGAGATCAACATGCAAAGATATTTCCTTCTCTAATTTGTGTTGCCCACACATCTTTTGCTGTGATGCATCATTATTATTTTTCAGAAGTTTTTTTTTCTAGGAAAATGCTGTCACCCAACTGAAACGGATGAACCTTTACATGCAATGTTGCTCTGTTCTCGAAAAACAAGATAAAAGTTACAAAGGGACATAGTACACAAAAGAAGAAGGACACGCTTGAGTAAATGGATAGCAGAACAAGGTTTAGGAGAGATAACAAAAAAAAAACAGAAACTTAAAGAGCTAGAAATGACAGGAAATTGTGGAGAGCCATGATCGTGTACATCCTGAAGGGACACAGTACACAAAAAAAGAATGAGCTTGAGTAAATAGATGGCAGAACAAGGCTTAGGAGAGGTAACAAAAACACAAAATTTATTAAGAGCACCACAGGACAGGAAATTGTGGAGAGCCATGATCGACTACATCCTGATTGTACATGGCAGATAGAACACAAACACAAAGAAATGAAGATATTTTCCTCAACAAAAAGAAAAACTTGCAACTTTATTCTATAACTTATTTTTTGACAACTGTTTATGTACCTAAAAAAAAATGTGGCTATGAAAACATTAAGTGGAACAATCTCTGTATTGTTAATTTTCATATCTCATTTAATCTGTTTATATCTAGTTTTAATCTTTCTTTACCCAGGTGAGTCTGCTTCTCTTTGAGCAGCCATTGATAGTGTGTACATATCTATATCTGTAGGGATGCTTCCTGAATCTTGAAGCCAGTTCTTAGAGATTATTTCCAGAACTGGTTAAAGCTTAGCAGAGAAGTGACCATTCATATCAGGTATTGTCCAAGCGGATGTATTGATTGCCTGTTTAAACATTGGATAATGAAAACAGTCTTGAGAAACATTCCTTATGTCAATAGGAACTTGAAAAATACCAACCGATTGGTGAAGGCAAACAGAGATGAACGAAGGAAAACAAAAATGGTCTAAAAGTTTGAAGAATCTAATTTTGGTCAGTCATTTCACTGGCGGCAAGCATTGAATTCCTCAGATTGTCAGTAGAGATTTGGAATGAAAATAGTGTTGTTCTTTTTCAGATTTTTTTAAAAGATTTATTTATTTTTATATCGATGCCAGTAATGGTGATTCACAAAGATAAACAAGTGCACATTTCTGTATAAATTATATATATATATATATATATATATATATATATATATATATATATATATATATATATATATATATATGAATTTAAATCATATATATATATATATATATATATATATATATATATATAACCAGTGTAGGGTTGGTATAGATGGAATAAAATTCTGATAACCAAAAAACACTATTTTTTTAAAAAAAGTGCTCAATATAGAGTAGAGCAAATGATATTTATTCAAAAATTATAACATAAACATGTTATAACATCACTACAAAACTAGTGTTGATTTCGCTATCAACATCATTACTTGATAAGACACCAGAAGTATTGAAACAAAATGGCTATTTTTGTTATGTTATAACATGATTATGTTATAATTTTTGAATAAATATTATATATATATATATATATATATATATATATATATATATACATAAACTACACTTGTCTTGGAAAACCTTCGGTTTCTTGATTTGCTAATGATCAAATCAATTTCGAAAAGAAAGCACTTAAAAAAAAAACTAAATTAAAAAGAAAAAAAAAAAAGAAAAGCGCTAGGAACATGAAAAAAAAAAGAAAGAGCTATGAACATGAACGTCTGTTGAAAATAATTGTACAGCATACAGGTCCAAAGCCCAAAGAAAAAAAAACCGATACAAGTAATCAACTAACTAAAAAAGTACTCAATACAAAAGTAGAACAGGCCTAGTTAAACCTACCAAGGTTTCACCTAAGCTGATCATCAGGGAAAGCTTAGGTGAAACCTTTAGGTTTGTCTGGCTCTCTAGGTTTGACTATATATATATATATATATATATATATATATATATATACATTAGAAGGAAAATTCACGAAAGTGCTGCTATTGAATCTTATCAAAATATAAATCTGTGCCCTGGATTTTTTCAATATCTCCATTCCTGAAATAATTATTTTCCCAAACCAAGATACATGACAAAAAAAAAATGGTACAAAATTAAAAGAAAAAACTTTTTAAATCCATAAGCTTAAGTTATTCAAAATATATAACACATAAATTAATCCTAAACTAAAATACGAATTTACATATATATATATATATATATATATATATATATATATATATATATATATATATATAGTAAGGTTTCCCTTTTCCCCGTCTCACCCACTGCCATCATGTTATGTTGATTTTTGTGATTTCCTCTGTTAACTCTTTTCTCTTCTATGAGTTTCAAATTCTCCAAACCCTCTTCTCTCATTATTTTTCTTAGAAATTTCATCATTATCATTCTAATTCTAAATATAAGCATACTTTTGGTTTTCGTTTTCCTTAAAACTTTCTCATAATTCACATTTTCAGTTCATGGCATGCTCAGCATCCTTCTGTAGAACCACATTTGTCTAACGTCTTTTTGCTGAGAGCTACATTTTCTTTCAACACTTCTTGGCTAGTATATATTTGATAAAAGCAGAGGTCTACTCCAAAAAATAATCTTTATAAGAATAATAAAAAAGCAAATATATCTACTCCAACACAAGTACCCTCTAAAAATAATCTTTATAATAATTTTTTTATCTTGGCCAGATGACTATTCTCCAACCCCTCGGTGAGTTTGGTACTCTCTAAAACTAACATTTATAATAATAACAAAAAAAGCAGGAGTCATACTCAACAGATTCCAGCTAGACTCTGTAGTCTGTTGCCTTACGGATACTTATCCATTTTGGTTTGGTTTGGTTTGGTTTGGTTTACGGCATATCAACCTCAATGGGTTATTTAATGCCAACAAAATTTTCATTGTTGGTAATATTTTTTTCCAAAAATCTATTTTTGTTAATATGTTTTCCTTCAAAAATTTATTTCTGGAAATATTTTTTCCTTCAAAAATCTATTTCTGGAAATATCTTTTCCTTCAAAAATCTATCTTTGGTAAGAATTTTCCTTTGCTGGTAATATTTGTTTTTCAAAAATGTTTTGCTGGTAATTATTTTTTTTTTATTTCTGGTATTAAACCTTATTTTTACACTTTCATGTTTTGACTCAAGTTTGGGTGTTAACTACTTGCCCATGGCTGGGACCCCAACAGGTGCCGCACTCCTGGGTCAGGGTGGACCTGGGAACACCAGCAACCAAGAGCCAGTTCCACACTCCTCAAACCATCCTGAACAGAGGCCATGCAGTTGGACGTAGTTTATTGTCTTACCTAGGACACGGATGTAGTTTATCATCTTACAGGGATACTTATAGGTAGTTAGTACCTATAGTTTAGTCACTCATGGGGGTGACAGGTTATTCCATTATATCAGTTTACAATGTTCCATATATTTTTATCATGGGAAACATTATTTTTAGTGGATTATTTGAGTAGATGTTCCATTTATTTATTAAACAGTATATTTATTTATTTTTGTCTATCAGGTTGAATCTTCAAGAAATCTTATTAAAGAAAAATACATGCCCTCCAGTAGGATTTGAACCTGCATTCCCTTGGGTAGAGGGTAAGTGTTGTTAGATCCGACATGCTTTAGACTTAATGATTGCATGAAAACGTATGAAAGTGAAACTGGCAGTCATGATCAGTCATGGCTCTCTCGAAATTTGATTTAAAATAAAATAAAGCACTGCCGTTTAATATGCCATAGAGCACTCTTTTTTCCTGTGTGCATCTATAGCAGACTTTTAAGAGCTTCTTATTCTATTATTATATATTTACTCTCACTGTTACTGTATATATAAACATTTGAAGTTATAATTGTTTTTATTTATAGATGGTTGGTTTTGTTATGTGTATTACTTTGAGGACTATATATATATATATATATATATATATATATATTAAGACATGTTTTATTAAATAATTTAGACATGTTCTGTCTACTTATTCTTGATAGGATCCTTTCATATTTGCAAATGAGCGAATAAGGTTATTATAAGGTTATTAAAAGACCTGAATAACACATCCAATATTTCTAAACATTTACAACACATTTGTCCACACTCACAATTCAGAAAAATCCTCATTGAAAATACCTCTATACTTTTCCACAAAAAGAATAAACACAAACAAAAAATTCTTGAATCTATTTATATCAAAAATTGAAACCAAACCTCAATGAAATTAACTATGAATACTCCACAAACATTTTAAAATGTGTACAGTAGTCTTTAAATGTTAGTGCTTGTCATTATAATTTTTTTCATTTATCTAGCAACTACTCAAGTCTAGAATTTTCTGCAGAATACCTAGTTATCTTCTCTTAAAAGGTGTCCGTCACCCAAGCTATGAAACAGCGTTCATGACTCCACATATAAAAATGGTAATTTTAAGATGACCACAACAATTTTTGTTCTTCAAAACCATGAACATTAAATACTTACTCTATAATTAACAATAGCCTGATTATGACATTATGCTATGTCAAAAGTACTTTGAATTATGAGCCAACACGATGTTTTCCACTCATCTTTTAATAACCGCACAAAAAAAGCTTATCTGTGAATATGAAAGGATCCTATCGAGAATAAGTAGACAGAACATATTTAAATTATTTAATGAAACCTGTCTTAATGAAAATATATGCCAAACTATATCCAGCATTTCATATATATATATATATATATATATATATATATATATATATATATATATATATATATAAAAGAAATATACCCGTAAATGAGTTGTGCTATATTCATGGGATAAAGTGCTCAATATCAGAGATAGAGCATGTGTAAATACAAAAATGAACAAGAAGTCAACACTTAGAGGCGACAGGCTGTTT